TTCGATCCGCGGCCTGGTGGTGCACGGCAGGTTCTATGCGAGGCCGGAGGAAGACAAAGGCGAGTGGTTCACGGCTGATTGGTGGATGTGCGGAGAGATCCATGGCGTTCGATTCAGAGCTTATTGGGGCACAAAATTGGTGGTGCACGGCTGCGCTCCAGCGTTGCCAGATGGTATATTTCTATACCAAATTTTACAAATCTGGTATTTTCAGGTGTCTGGTATGAATATTTTATATCTGGTATTTTTCTGGTATTTTCTGACTTACGGCAAATTTCCGTTGAAAAGATCTGAGCAAAAGGCCAGTCTAGTCAAGACAAGTACAAGAATCGGCGACAGGCCTATCCAGGCCTATTCTTCAATGCCGAAGATACTATACTATACTACTGCATTAAGTTCCACCTCGGAAGTTTGAACTTCCTCCAGCGTAGGCGTGGATTATATTTATTACCTTCAGAGCGGCGCGACTAGAGCTTTCCAGCCATTTTTGTACCCGCAAGTTTACCGTTTGATAAAATAACTCCAATCTAACTGTTAACATTTAACAACAGTGTTTAGTACAATATAAGCACGAGAGTGATGATCCTTGGTTGATTACTGATCAGGAATGATATGGCCTAGGACGAGTGAGGGGGTCGATCCGATCTCTGCGACGCAAGCTCCACCATTTTTGTTCGGTGATTTTTATTTCTAGTGTGCCACTTATTGGAGTGCCACTTGATTTCTGGGGTGCCATTCAATATTTCGCTGATCTTGAAAATCATCATCCATTTATAGAACTGGCTGCCTACTGCATCGCTTGTCTACTTTTACCTGTCTCCAGTGCATTCGTGGAGCGAATGTTTTCACAAGTCACCTATGTGAAAAACAAGCAAAGAAATCAAATTTCATCTAAGGTACTGGAGCCCGTTATTCAGACCAAAAGCTATCTGCTCAGCCGCAACAAGTGATCAAACCCGAAGTGTTAGATAAATGCAATATGCCATCAAGTACGAAAATAAGGAAAATTACCCGTTTCCGTGGCTTGCTCATGTTGAGCGAAGGGGGAGAAGTGCGGCACTGTGATAAAAAAAGTGACAATGTAATCAAACACAGGAAAAGAAGTGTCTAAATGTTCCAAACGTAGGGAAAAAATAGGTATAACGTGTTCAATTTGGCTAATTATCGTCAAGCTAGATAAATGTAAAGTACGTAAGATAATTTTTTTTTCTTTATATAACCAACGTTTCTTACGAATAATTTCATTAAATTTGGAGGTAATAGTCTGTTTTTGAACAATAAAATTTCTGGTATTTTAAGCTAGGCAATCTGGTATTCTCGCCGAGAAAAAATCTGGCAACACTGCTGCGCTCTCCAATTGCAGTAACACGAGAACCCGCCTCGACCAGTCGCACACGCGAGTCGCAAGCTCCTTCCTCGTGTACAAAGTACCTACTCCACCATCGAAAGAGAATGCCTGACGTTCATCTTCGGCGTCGACAATTTTAAAATCTACCTTATAGGAAAGGAATGTGTTCTGGAAGTGGACAATGGCCTAATGATATCCTTGTACTTTGTCACCGCGCCTAAGCCTGAAACTGACAATCATTTGAATAAATGCTAACCTCTCATAGTTTACCTATTACTGCTCTGTCAGGATATGATAGAGCATCTTGAGCTAAAGCAGCGGGACGATTATAAACTGTGAGGCGGCTGTGCCTAAATTTAAGCTCTCGAGTCTTGAGTCAAAATCTGATACAAGCCTAATCAATGGTTTTCGAGTCCTTGCCTGTTTCAATGGCGAAGGTTTACAATCAGAATAAATAACGGTTTAAAATAGTGTGTTGAACTCACATTCATTAAAATAGTAGGTACTCGAACCAGATGCAATATTTTAGTAAACTTCTCCCATTAAAATGACATTCACCAGTTAAAATGTCACGCCCTGCAAAATATTTTGAATTGCGAGAAGTATTGCACACAGTTACTATGGTCAGCATAGAGGCACAGCATCTAAACGCAGACTAGGACGGCTATACTACAAGCACTACTCAGGTACAGACTAACCGAAGACCCTTTCTGAACTAGACCATACAGGTTGGCAGCGGGCAATCTACTAGCTACTGCTGCATCGCTTAGCAGTAGCTGCTACCACGAGCGGGAGCGCAGCCGTGCACCACCAATTTTGTGCACCAATAAACCCTGAATCGAACACCTTGGATCTCTCCGGATATCCACCAATCAGCCGTGCACCACTCGGCATTGTCCTCCTCCGGCCTTGACCACCACCTGCCGTGCACCACCAGGCCGCGGATCGAATCTGACTTCCGGGCATCGTTGAATTACGTAATTTTACGTTCACCGCATCTGAGGTTAGGTTTCAGATAGCATAGTTCTGCTGCAAAATTTATCGTCCTGCGACAAGTGGCCGTTCGACCGAGGGCTGGTTCGACCCACGGCCTAGTTACGGACGGCTTTAAGTGTTGAAGGCTACGTTCCGGAAGGCAGGAATCATGATGGTCCATTACATCCAGGGCAGTTGTGGTCTTCGGCAGGCGACCCCCACGAGCGTCGATCACGGGCAGCTGCAGTCGCGCAGCTCATAGGTCCAAACGCGATGTGCATGGCGCGACTACACAATGCGTGCTACCTCGTAATTAGAAGTGTGTCGTAGGGTGATACATTAAAATAGTATAAATGAATAATAAAAACCAATTTATTTTGGAAACAACAGTTTCCTGTCGTTTACAACTTGAACAAGTTTAGAGAAGCAACAGCCGTCTCATTAGCTGGGCCCTTACTCTGCAACCACACCGTTTCAAAACCATTTGTATATCGGGGGGGGGGGGGGGGCGTGGGACCTGATTTACACAGCCGCACAGGCTGAGCGCGTAGGGCAGGGTGGCCCAGTGGTTAAGGTTCATATAACCAAGATTGACGCAGAGAGGCGCGGGTGCGATCCCAGCTTTGTGCGCCAGTTTCTGGTCAGAATCGGCAAGTAGGCCGGGCGGTTAAGCACAGCAGAATTAAACAAGTGAGTTGCAAGTTCGAGACCGCAGCAAGCTGTGAATGTTCTGCTATGTTAAGAATTGGCGACAGGCTTACGGCCTAATAAACGCTGAAACCGCTATTATTTATATATTTATATTTACTCAGCCGTTACTCAAAGAGTAACTTCTTTGACTACTTAGTAGTTTGACTACTACTTCTTAGTAGTTTTGTTCGTATATACTAGTTCTTCAGAATTTATAAGTTAGTGTTAGTACGTTGTAACCTCTGTTGATGTGAGTTTTGCAATAATTGCCATTCGGGCAAGCACATACCCTTAATTTTAGCTAAAATCTCAACGCAAGTTCTCAATTTTCTTAGAAGGGAGTCGTATAAGGGCATGTGATCCAGTTTTATTGAACACTTTGTCTTTCATCCCGCTACTGACTTCCACGCTAGGCTCTGCTAAATTTAGATCCCGTTCTTCCACACTGGACAGGTGAGCTCCGTAACCGACTTAAAATCGATATTTCTACATGGAATAGCAAGTGCTAAGTCCAGGCAAACCGTGCTTATTTAACTAAACAGTTTTTTGACATGTCGGACCTATATGGCTGAACCTACCGTCCCACATATACCAGGGACCCACCCGCAAGCTCTCAATAGCGATTTGTTAGCACAACACGAATGGCTTGTCGATTACTTAAGTTGGTTCGTTGATCCTCTTGCTACGTAGAAGCAGTACATAGGATTTTGGGGGGCCTAAACCTAACCTAATCCTTCAAGTGCAGTAAAATCGAATGAATATTTATTAATTATGTTTCGGGTTTTAGGATGAAGAACGCAGTAAGTAGTGACAGAACTGTTCAACTGTGACATTTGCAGGGATGCCAGATGGGCGTTTTTCGGGCAAAATTGGCCTTTTAATAATGTAAATCGGATGGGGCCATATTAAATGTTTTGGCCTGACAAATTTTATTTGGCCGTTTTGTCCATTTTGGGCCTTTTTGTATTATTTTCATTTTCCACTAAAAATTTCGTTTTGCTCAAGATTAGTATATTTAAATTTTGACACATAATTGTATCGATACTTTGGTAGGTATAGGTTGCAATACTGGCCGTGCACGTGCCGCCTAATACGGGCAAAACCATGGTTGTTGTTGTTGAACCATAGAGTTATTTCAAGTAGTTGCCCACTGATATTGAAAACCATGGAAGGCAGAGCTGAGAGCGCGTAGAGTCGCGTATGTTTCTACCTCTTGAAGAGTAAGTCCGTTATAAATCTCTGTGGATACAGAGCTGCTTTGCCAAATTGCCATACATTCAGTCATATAGTATACGGCACCACAAAATTTCACTTGAAATTGGTTCAATCCTTCCTAGTTCCTGCGCTCCTTAAAATTTGTTTGACTATTTAGGGTTTTAAGGAAGTGGTAATTTGGTCAGTCGCGATGGCATGTTACCTCGACAAACAATGTTTTCAGCAAATTGCCTTGAGCTAGGATAGTATTCGATTACTTGGGTTCAATTTTTAGGAAATACCAAGTTGAATAATATATTGCTCAAAGTGATGTTAGGCATTATATCATTTTACTTGTCATTTGAAAGTTGTGACAAACATATAGGATTGCAGTAGCTACATCGTCTCTCTACCGCAGAAATAAGTTTGCAATAAAACGATTTTCGACTTCCACGTATAAATATTTTACCACCAAATCACCAATGCCACTCAATTGGCCACATCTCTTTGGGCGCTGGCCTTCAAACGAAACTATATGTATATTTTGTCAACAAAACTGGCCACAATCGTAGTTCTGACAAGTATTAGTATTACACGGTTCAAATTTACGATGTAACGGTAATTTAAATCGTAAATTAGTGAACTTGATGTAATTTCTGTTGTCTGAACTACCTTGGTTGTAATTACCTTGAAATTCGCAATTTTATTATTAATTTTAAGTTGAGCCTTTTTTGAGCTAAATTGGCCTTTTTCTCTTTGCTCCATTTGGAAACCCTGGCCCTTTGACCGTCTCGTGCTTCCGCCGTCGCCGTGCAGATAGTATGAGTCTGTGATTCAGACTACTTATAAATAAATGTATGATTCTCATTTTAAAGTCAAACTATTCTATGATGGTTAAAATCTGTTTCTATGTGCTTCCTTTCATTGTACTTGTTACGATTGCTCATTATATTTTCTATTCTTCCACACAATTTTTTATTTCTAACGTATCGCCTCTGAAGCAATGTCCTTGCCCCATTCTGGAAGCTGATCCTGCTTCATTTTTTGCCAAGGTAAGTAAATGTATTAATAGTTATTTGTATCACAGCTCTATTTATTATTCTACCGGTTGTGGAACTTTTGTAATTTTTGCTTTCCATGGTTCCTTTTTTTCCATAGGTAGTCTTAAAATTTTACTTGAACTCTCAGCCTAAGTCTGTGCAGAAACCACCCACCATTGGTCTAAAATGACAGTAAATATGGCCTATTTTACCCTTTCTTATAGCCTTTTTCTAAGTTATTTACTAAATAAGTAAAATAAATTGCCTGTTTTACTCACATCTTGCAATTTTCAGAAGTCACCTGTGAAACAATTGTTTTTAATCTGCAAATGCAATCATAGTGCAATATAAAAGAACATAGTATTTACAGATTTTTAACCAATCAATGTTCCTTTACAGACTGATCAACAGCACATTTGCACAACCTCTTACAATATCCAACTGCTTACTAAATAAAAAAAAGAGAGCATTAACAGGCAACAGGCCAACAGCCACAGGCCCCACACTGGAAAGTGGCAAAGCAGAGAGTTTTTTAGACTCTTTCTCATGTTTCTCAACTATCAAGTTCATTTCTGAGTCCTATAAGTAGACCAGTAATCAGTAATGTATCTTGGATACCAGCATTATCATACTTGAGAAATTGGTTAAAATCTTGAGTAAATGAGGAAATTAAAAATGAACTGATTCTAAAAAAAATCTCTGGTTTGTCATTACGCCCTACAGCACCAGCACACAGCATAGCAGCCACAGCAAATTTGGATTTTTCTAAATTATAGAACTGTCAAACGGGCCACAGCCACACTCAGGATGATGTATGTTTTCGGTGAATTTTCCCGCGCATTTTCACTTTTTTAAGCTATTGCTGTGCACAGTTGGCGCAATGTAATGAAAATTGATTATCTTCGTGCACGTGTTTGCGCAATCCCGGGCCCCCGGCCATCTTTATTTTAGAAGAAATTTTCTCCAAAGTCATATGGCAACACTGAACACCGTCTGTTTACATTTCGTATGTATAACAGCCGCAGTTTACGATTACCGTACGTTCCGTATCCGACAAGGCGGACAACCGGAAGAGTACTAAAATAGTAGAACTATTTTAGCTTTCTAAAGTACGGCGCACGGCGCATTTTTTACCAACGTAGTATGTCGCACCGCGCAGGTCGTTAAAATGACAAAATAAATTCCCACGCACCTGGCACATCTTCCTGACCATGGCAAACGGGTTAATGAGTAACAGGCTAATGAGTAACGGGCAGGGTGAATCTGGACAGTCGTCCCATATTTTTTTGAAATTTTGTATCAGCTAAACTAGGCCTACTACTAATCAAAATATTGCAAAATTTGAAAATTGAAATAGTGGTGTAAAGTTCAACATTTTTACTATCTATCACCCTATGTAGCATAAAGGAAGTGAAGAAATTGTACATTTACTAGCTCTAAAAAATCCCTGGAAAAAATGTTTAAAAATTGTACTTTGGCAAAGTATTTTGCTCAAAAAGCTTGCAAACCGGTGACCGCTTTAAAACTTTATTGACAGAATTTGTGTACCCCAATCTAAAACAAAATAAAGTAGCAGTCATTTCTGCAAGATAGGGTTTTAAGCCTAAGTGACACCCATAAAAGCACATTTACTGCAGAACTTTGGTTAGCAAAGTCTCCAGTTAACTAAATGTTGGTTAATGACAAAGAATTTTGATTAAATTTACCTCTAGCAGCAAAATATTCCACTTGATGAAAAATTAATGCATTGCCATTGGTCATTGATCACCAAATGTGCATAGAATGTCATAGATAGAATTATGGACCAGTCTGATAGTATGAGATGAGTACATTCTTTGTGCTTAAAATGTTTTTAAAATTAAGTTTTATTTCAAGTGTCCCTTATTATCCCATACCCAGTAGTAATTTAAAAGGCTTTTATTTGGTGTCTGGCATCTTACAAATTGCATATAGAATTTTTTTTGGAGATGCCATGCAATAGCCCTCAAAGACCTTCAAAATGAGCCCAAACAACAAAAAAGTTCTCTACAAAAAAAGTGTCCTCTATTAGCCCATTTGATGGTGTAGATATTGTTTATTCATTTTCATTTTTTACTTTATCAAATAAAAGAAAAACTTTGATAATTGTTCTTAAAAATGGCTACTGTACCTAATTATATAGAACAGTATATATTGCAGTGACTTGGGTCACTGGGTGTCTAATATTCACAAATGATATTGAGTACTAAATACTAATAATTATAATTACTACATAGGTGAAATAATTACCTAATTTGGTACCTACAGAAGTTCTGTAAACAGGATCTTTTTAAAGTCATGAAATTCATCACACTAGAATTTGTTGACATTCATTTGTGTATCATATGTTTGTATATATTATAGGTTATAAAAAACAACTAAATTTGGAATTGCACTTTGTTGAGTTATAAATAAACTTGTTTCTTTTCTGGTGTGACTTCATTTTATCTCCTTATTGACAGGATGAGCTGTCAAGAAAAGATCCAAAGGGCCTTGGATCTTCATATGAAAGTCTGGCTGCACATCATCCCAATGCCCCCTTGCGTCTGCTCAACAGCTCATTCCCTCGCTGTAGTCTCATGCCAGAGTTCATGAAGTGAGTGCTCTACGTTTTTAAATTATCTGCTTCATTATTTTCAGAGAATTTTACTTTTTCAAAAATATTTAAATTTAACCTTTTTGTGGGCAAGCATTAATATGTTCAGAAATTCAAGTTTACGAATCCAGTACGGTACAAGAAAATATGAACAATCACAAGATATATTTTCTCATTGGTCTGTTCTTAAATTTGGCATACTGAAGGATTTATTCATAGTTGAAAAATCTATTAAATATGGTCATCACTCTGGAAAAATTTAATTCAATTCTACTCTAACCACTCTAATATTAAGAGTAATTTTCTAACTTCAATTCCATTTGATTTAATTTAGTTAGCTTGAGTAGGTACTATATAATTGAAATGACATTGCTAAGGTACTTCCATCTTTTTACAAAATTTAAAAAGAATGTCAATTTCATTGTCAGAATTAGAAATTTGTATTATATGCTCATATTTTGATTTTTGGGCGTGTTTGGGGATGATGAGAGCCTTTAACACAAGCTGGAGACAATTTTAAGTGATCATGTATGGTATATACCTTACCTGAGAAAGGACTGAAGACTAGAAAAAGAATGATATGAAATATTTTGGGAATTTTAACTACCTAAGATCTCATCAGAACTTTACTTGTTGACTTTATCAACATTTTGTCATGATTAAATTGCTAGATCTTGCTGTTTGAAAACCAGATAAAAATTTATGGAAATAATATGTACACAAAATACTATTGTATACTCAAGTTTTCAAGCATTTGCTTAATGACTGCAGTTTATGTGCAGTTCCTAATACCTACTGTGTTACTCTCCCTGTTGTACAGTAGACAAATAGGACCTCTCTTTCTTTTTTTGGGCTTCAGTTAATGCAAATCAATTTTACCAAAATTTCATTTCTTATTGATGTACTTTAAGTTTTTATCAGTTCTACTTTAGCCTTTGGAAACAGATAGATCTTTTGTGGCTTTGTTCTTTGCTTGTCTTGAGATGATGATGGAATATTAAGGTTATCACTTCCATGTTCAAAAGTTCTCTGTTGCTTGAAATGCTGAGCAGAATTCACTGGACTGCAAGTGTGTGGCAACATTTCAAAGATGCCAGTGGCAAGAAGTTTCTTCTCTACTCAGCTATATATGAAAATCGAACAAAAACTGGTATTTAAGTTAGTTTATGTATGCAAAATTTAGATATGGTTTCTATTTGAGGTGGTAAAACTTGTATACTAATAAAATTACTTTTGTAATGGATATCTGTTCATTTTCTCTCAATGATTCATCCCTAACATTGACTTATGAATGTGATTCATGTTTTTCAGATATGTATTTCTTTAGTGTAACTTCAATTATAGAGTAATCACTAATACTTGTGATTAATATCTCAAACACTTCTGAGATCAAACCTATCTATGTGACATATTTAGTGATAGCTCAATAATAAAGTAATAAGTAAGACCTGTCATCATTACCTCAAACACTTCTGAGATCAAACTTATCTATAACAAACGCTTGCAATTCAAAACTTCCTGTCAGTCTTGACTTGAGTGGCTGTGGCATGTGCAGAACCACCTGGCGGAGTTGTACGAGTGGTCACGCTCCTGCAGAAAGAATATTTTGACTCATTTGAGCTGCCTTGGTGTTTGCTGTGGTACAATCATGCAACTCAACCTTACATCAGTCGTGTCATCAGGGCTGGTGAGAATGTCTGACATCCAGAATGTCTCACTGTTATACTATTGCTACCTTATCAAGGATTATCTGCAACTAATGGGGCAAGAAGCGGTTATTTGGATTTTTGTTGTTATCGTCCAAAATAATCTAGTTACTTTGCATCTTCTCTTGTAGGCCATCAAGTCTTGTACTTGCATTGCTCTCATTATGTATGTGGCTGTTCGTTTCTTGAACTTAATGAATCTGCCATTTGTCTCAAATTATATGTAGCTTGCACAACTTTAAATGTAAATTGCATTTACTGAAAATGTCATCTTTGGCTAATGCAATACCAATCCTAATCTTGCTTTAACATTTGAGGTGATTAATGAATGGGTTTTATTACTGCTGACAGGTAATTTAAATTGTTATTTTTCACCTAATGTCCTCTTGTACCTATATATTTCTCGTCCCCAGCACTTTATTGCAAAACTTGCAGTATTGGCTTTCCATGCTGCTTCATTGACCTGGTACTGAATCTAATTGACCTCCTACAGAGTACATTGACTGGCAGTGGGAGAGCAGCGACCGCTTGCTCAGCTACATGCTCACCTGCCCTGCCTTGCAGCACGCAGCTGCGCCCTGGGGGGCCTCAGTTGTATCTCAGCCTTGTACTCCTGCCCAGAACCTCCTCTCTGTTAGTTCTTACACTTCTCCTGTTGAGTGTTATACAATACTAGAGCTCCTTGTTAAGGCCTCAGTTGTATCTCAGCCTTGTACTCCTGCCCAGAACCTCCTCTCTGTTAGTTCTAACTCGTATTCTCCTGTTGAGTGTTAAACAATACTAGAGTTCCTTGTTAAGGCCTCAGTTGTATCTCAGCCTTGTACTCCTGCCCAGAACCTCCTCTCTGTTAGTTCTAACACGTATTCTCCTCTTGGTGTTATACAATACTAGAGTTCCTTGTTAAGAGCCTGTGCTGAAATGTTTAATGCTGGGGTCTTGCACTAGTTTTGTTTAATGCTGGGGTCTTGCACCCTCCTGTTGTCTTCATTTATGGTAAATGCTTTATACCATCTGGGGATACGGTAAGAAATGTGGGCGAAGGGGTTTCAATTTTGTAAAGGGTTTCAATCATGGTCTAGTTTTGTTTTCTGAGAACTTTTAGCATGAAGTTTTTTGCTTCTATCAATTAGTTTTTTACTTTAGTATACCTATATAGTGGTTAGTAGAAGAGATTTTATTGTGTGTCTCTAATTACAGTTTATGAAAAGGATTTATTGCTAAATTAGGTCCATTCTGTGGGGGGAATCTGCCTTAGAATCGCCGACCCTTAGTAGATCGTCATATCATTTGTTGATGGTAGTTGACAGGAAAAAAATTGTCATCATCTTCATCATTGAAATAATCATGAGTGCATTCCCAAGACCTTGCTTGTTTGTCAAGAATTATTTTGTCACTACAGTACATAATTTAGTTAAAAAAAATTCTAACTGATTTTTCTTCTGTCTGAGAAGCGTTTCAAGAATTGGCTTGCTAAGTTTGCTTCTTATCCGGGTGCAATTTTCTTACCAGTTAATATCTATGTGTTTCTTTGAAGTGTATGAATGTTAATAGTGAATTATAATGGTGAATAACAAGCATATTTACAATCCGCTCGATGAGTGCGTTCTTCTCCAACCTAGCAATTTAGATACTAGTAAAATTCGAAGACCTGGTAAGGATTATGTTATATTTTATGTGTAATTTGCTACGCACTGTCAAGATGTATGCCATGTGTACAGGTTGTGAGTAGAGAGACTGATCAAACATCAGGTGGCTACAAGCACGGGCGCTCTGCTGGCTCTCACTCCTCAAACCAGTTGATCTCTGGCAGTAATGGACGGCCACAACGTGAACGCTTAGCGTAAGTCTCACCTGATATGTTTTGGCGCTCTGTGTATCTTCTGTAACCATCTGTTCCCATGTGCTTGTATTACAAGCGAGAATAAGTCTCACCTGATATCTTTTGGCGATCTGTGTATCTTCTGACCATCTGTGCCCATGTACTTATATTACAAGCGAGAGTAAGACTGAAGACTTTCAGGCTCGTGGGCTTAGTTGTTTAGTGACAGTGAGCAATATTGCAGATCAGGAGATGAGTTCGAGGTTGGTGTGTGCGGACCCGCGCTCTTCTATTACCAAGAGGACTTCTCAGTGCGTCTCGTTGAGTGGCTGGAGTTGCTACGTGCGTTGGGCACATCGCAGGTCTTCCTCTACGTAACGCGTGTGCATCCCAACATAGAAAAGGTGCTTCGCTACTATGAGCAGAAAGGCTTCGTACACACCACTGACTTCCATTACCCTCCACCTTACGTCGATGAGCCACTGCTCAGACGGTAATTAAATTCTTCTCATAACTAATCTTAAGTTCGCTGTCCTCTACTTGTTTCAAGAGAACTTTTATGGTACTGTTCTAATATCCAAACTATTTATGAACTTGACATGACTAAACTTACTTTATATTAGTTATTAGATGAATAACCTCTCAACATCCAAGAAGACTCTTGAGAAGACCAAACAAATAATTAATTTCATCTAGTACATTTTTATCCCACTTTGAACGTTTGATCCCACTGTCCTTGCTCACCAATTCTTACCTAGTACTATTCTGCCACTGGCCCTACATTCCGATAGGAAAATTTTACCCTCATTTAATTCATTTGAATAAAGTATAAGTTGTCTTTCTGGATTTTAGTTGTTTAAAACCTATTATGGTCATTGTTAGTTTCTCTTCAATATTTTCAGCTAATTTTGGGTCTGGGAAAAACCTGGTATAATGTTATGTACTGTAAAATGAGTAGCATCCGTGAGCTTTGTTTGTCTTTAGAATGAAATGAGCCATTAAGTTCTTTATTTACTCTGGATGTTATTATTCGTAGGCCATGAAGAAATGGAGAATGATTAGATAACGCCAGAAGACTACATACATTGCTGTGTTTATATGGTATTTAAAAGTTTGGATAATAATAGAATAGAATAGAAGTGTCGGCGCTGAAGAAATAGGCCCATGGCCTGTTGCCAATTCTTGAACTTTTCGTGACTTGATTCACAAGGGATCCGGCCTTTGGAACCCGATCTTTCCATAGCTGACGATTGATTGAGATAGCTGCTGGACTTATTGCCTGGTCTACACTGGACGCTATACTGAGGTGTGCTGGTCACATTTGTGTACCAGGCTGGGATGCGCTCATCATATTCACTCAATTAGCGCAGGTTTTCAGCTCTGTACTAAATTGTAAACTTCTCAATGCTAACATTTCATATTGATGTGTCTCATAGGAACTACTTGAATATTCTTTTTATATATTTTTATGGCGGCCTAATTTCGTATTCCTATGGTTTAATTTTTATAAACGGTAAATAATCAAATCATTTGTCCACAGAAAGTTAAATATTTGTATCCTACAGTACTAAGGACTGGCCAATTCCTCCACCATCGTATTGGTTCCGGTGGCAGTACTTCCCCTCTGACCTTCCACCCTCACATGAGCACGCGTCGTCCCAAGTTGAGGGCTATACGCTGGTCTCTCCTAGCGGGGACATGAGGCAGGCTCATGACTACAAGGAGAGACAAGGGGATGTGCCTGCTTATCTGCACATGTTGTATCATGACCAGAAGCTCATCAATGACCCGGACGAGAAGCATTATAATTTCAAGAGTCTATACGACATGGCGGACACAACAGCGGCATTCTCTCATCGCTCTGTTGCCTGCGCTTCAGGTTGGTTACTACAATTAAAGCAGGCTACTATGCTGTTTGTAGTGCAAGCAATGCATGTATATACTTACCTATTTGCTTTGCTTTGTTTCATAAATACTGAAGAAGTATTGACATTTTGGGTTTACTTATGGTTGGCATTGATGTTTTATACTTAGACCTTTGTAGCAAGACTTGATTTTCTGATGTATCGTTAGATTTGTTTGCCATATCGTTTTGTGTTAGAGTTTGGAGAGGTTCTTTTGGGATGTGTTTATATTTTGAAGTTGGATTTGAGGTAGCTTGCTGGGGCACCTTTATTTAACGCTGAAGTTCCTTTAATGCTGACAGAGTAGGTGCTCCTTTCCTTACTTGTTAATGTAATTAAGTTAGGCTGTGTTCTTTACTCTTCATTGACATTGTATAGATGGTCACTTAAATTCATGCCTTTTTCATTCCTCGCAAATATAGCATGCTGTTGGTTGAGACGATACATCTATTGTGAGAATGGTTCAAATGAGATAGAAAGTGGCTCTACTCAATTGTGAGGTAACTAGTTTTTTTATTCATTCCTCGAAATACATTTTCTCTCAGGTCCATGCTCGCAGTCGCAGCAGATAGACCTTAGCGTTGCCTATGTGGGCCACTTCAGCGGACAGTGCGGGGAGCGCTGCATGCGAGACCCTCACGCCACGGCCACCGAGACGGCACTGCACAAGTTCAGAGATAACGTCGCACCGCGAGTCATAGATGTGCTCAAAAAACTCTCACTCATTCCTCCATCACCACATCCATGAATAAAAAGTGGTCTCAAATTTCTGTAGATAAGATTGTAATAATTGCCAGTCCGCGGAAAAGTTAGCTGATCTAAAAACACAAAAAATTTAGTATAAGCTTCAAAAGTTTACCCGGACAATATGATTCTAATTGCATCGAGTAAAAGCCATCCAGCTTCCCTGGAAAATAAGCTCGAGCTTGATCATGAATTATCGACTGATATTTCTAAATCTTCACTGTTCACTGCCACTTAACAATAACCACCAGATGCGTCGGTCGGTGCATACTAGTCCTCATAGTTGGGCTTGTTTGTGTGCACAATTACACGTTTTAATTTTACCCTAAGTTATTCTTGAAACTTGTATTGGATCTTGCCTTTACCTTCAGTATACCTTGCTTTTACCTGTTTTTTTTACCTTATTTTCTGCTGCACTCTCCCTTTCAGTGGCTTCGTTGCTAGCATACCAGTACGGTTTAATTGAATCTTGCCCTGAGTTGCTTTCTAGTTTTAATTTATTTACGTTCAATTTTATGCTCAAGTACTTGCAATATCTTGCAAATTTAGAGTTTGCCCACATCAAATCCCGCATTGAGTTGCTTTTAAATCTCGAGCACATTTGCTCGGAATATAGCATTTGTTGCATTGAATATGTTGAAGCATTCACTAGCTTAGCTCGTATCTTAGCCTTGAGGCAGAGACCACTTGTAAGCTCAAATATCTGTTGCCTTTTCTAGTCCACTGAGTTATGCTCGTTCGAATAACACGTGCTTTATTATTATAAATGTATATTATATTATAATGCTAATGTGCTTTAAATCCTGGATTACTTTGAACCTTGCTTTTTGGTACGTGGAGTTTCAACCTTTGTGATAATGATCCTTACTTCAGTTGAGTCGAATCCTTCCTCTTATTATGTTGAATCACGCTTCCTACTATGTTGAATCTTGCTCTTATTATGTCGAATCTCGTCTCCAGTTATATTTTATCTTGCTTTAAGTTATCTCGAATCTCGTCTCCAGTTATATTCTATCTTGCTCAAAGTTATCTCGAATCTCGTCTCCAGTTATATTTTATCTTTCCCTAAGTTAAGTCATCTCCCATTGAGTTCAATATAGCCTTAAGTTGAATGGAATCTTGCATCGAGTCTCTATAGAAATTGTTCACTTTGTTATGTGTGGTTTTGGAAATTGTGTACGGAAAAACGAGTGAAAGCTCTTAACTAGTCTGATTTGTATTGTAATTGATTTTTTTTTGCATGTGGTGCAAGTCGAAGTATTGTGATTGTCTGAGAATTCTCAACGTTCCATACCGATGATAATAATAGTTGTAGTTGGACATAACCGTGCTTGTTAATATGTAACGATAATTTAAGTCTCAATTCATTGCATTCCGTAGAGTTTTCTGATATATCAAACTCTTTAAGATACAAGTGTCTCAGATAGGCTAGTACGGAGCATAATATACAAAACAGTTTACTGCTGTTGTATGCACAGCCGAAGTTTAGTTTTGAGTGTACAAATATGTTTTAAGTACAGCGTGGTCATGCGTAATAATGTGTCGGTATACTATTCACTACACTAACGTGGAACAAATAGTACACCACAATACATACTAGATTAACTAGTTCATTACAGTGCACCATTTCTTTAAAATCAAACCCTAATTTTTTTCAATTTTTTGCTTCTAAAAAAAATATACATATCTTTTGCATTTATTGAGTTAATTGTTTGTACCTATCTATAATGATATTCTGAATATCCATACCTAGGTAATACCAAGTCCTTGTTTCTTTCTCCGGATCTCATGGTTTTTTCTTCCTGATAATAATATCGCCTTGTTATTCGTGCCCTGGGAAACTTAAAGTTTTTTATCTGTTAATAATATCACTTGATTGATTATTCGCTCCTGGGAAACTATGCGGTTTCATCCCTACTACATGATAATCTCACTTTGTTGATCGCCACTTTTTGTTATTGATCAATAAACCCATTGTTGGCCTTGCAAGTTATTCTCCTAAGCTCTCGAGTATATGTCAACTCATCTTGACGCTGCCCATGTGGCTTGTGTTCAACACCAAACATGACCGGGTAACCCAAAGCAAATGTATACCCACTTTGTAAACTACAGAATGCAGCACCAAGTTTAACTGGAAATGATCCTACTGCTACATGAATTTAGCCGAGTGCCGGTTAAGTTGCATCAACTCTGAAATGCAATGCAGAGAAAAATTTTTTGTTGATAGTGAGCGGCTTCTGAGATTATTTACCTTTTCGAATCTTACCTCGCAACTTAGAGAAAAGATCGCTGCTGATCATTAAAGGATAAATTCGAAATATTGCGCAGCCACTACAGCATGGGGGATGCTGCTGGAAGCGCGAAATGAACTGTGAAAGTAGTGTTAAATTCCAGCTGCGATTCATGAAGGTGGGCAGGGTGGCCCAGTGATTACAGTTTAGAGTAGCAGAGAGGAGTGGGTTCGATCCCAGCTCTGTGCGCCAGTTTCTGGTCAAAATCGACGAGGAGGCCGGGCGGTAAAGCATTGAAATTTTGAAGCAGCGAGTTCAAGCCTGCAACATGCTGTGGATGTTTCTACGATGTTAAGAATCGGCGAAAGGCCTACGGCCTAATAAACGCTGAAACCGCTAAATAATGTATATAAAAAAAAAACAATTTATTTAATCGATTTGAATAAAATTACATAGTAATCTTCTTGGAATGGGTTGATTAAGCAGATCTTATGGGTTGCCAAGACAGAAATAAGATTAGCATATAATAGGGATTTGTGTGCTCGATTTATGGCAATCTAAGATTTGAATTTGTAGCCTAAATCTGCTCCCACATTCATTTTATTTTAGAAAGCGGACAAAATCGTTGATCAACAAACGCTCCGACTCCGAGCAGAGTAGCGCAGGGTCGGCTGGGAGGTTCGAGAGAGTCAGCAGGTAACACTATCAGAATATTCACTTCATCCCAGCACTATAATAAGTGCTTAATTTGAGACAAGCGGTACCAGTCTATGTAGGTTGTTAGGATTAGAATGATGTTAAGTAGGACCAGAATATTGTTAGGATCAGTATCTGTTATCAATTTCATGTACCAAGGCTGCCATTGTAAGGACTGTTACTGCTTGCCTGTAAATCAGTTTTCAAATATTGCTCCTTCAGAGAAAGCCCACAGGAGTTATGTTT